GCTATGGGTCAAACTCCCTGATTATGCCGCTCAGGGGGCAGAGATGCTGGTGTTTGACTTGGCTGATCCTCAACTTCTTAGAAGCGAAAACCTAGCTCGATAATCGCTGCCTGGCCTGCCCCGTGGGTTCCTGCGTGAGCAGGGCGGTCAGTGTCCCGGGCAGCACATGAGAACTGGCCGCGAGTTCCTGAGGTGTAGCAGGGACCGCCCAATGCCCTCTGCCCACGTGGCTGGCCGTGGGCTCCATCCATGGTGGCCACTAACCTCCCCGGAGAGGCGTGACTGCCGGGGGAAACACTGGAGAGGGGGCTGATGTGCTGAAGAAGGCCCATCCCCAAAGTGGCTGTGAAGCAGACGCTCCATTTCCCAGGGGTACTGAACTCCATCCTGGGAGGTAACTAACACACACACACACACACACACACACACATATTTTTGCAAGAATGGTTTGGGCCACTTCAAGAATGTGAACAGGGAGTCCGAAGACTCAGGTACTCCTCTAGGTCTGGACTCTGAGTGTAGGACACTGAGCACCTCCCGGGGCAGCCTCAGCTTCCCCTCGCATCCCAACAGGAGCATGCTGGGACTGGGCTTTGAGGAATGTCAGATAGCCTGCCCAGGGCTCCCCACACTGGGGAGTCCCCAACTCAAAATCCAAACTCACCTTCTTCAAGTCCGTTCTGACTCACAGCAGCCCTCTGGGACAGGGTAGAATTGCTCCTGTGGCTGTAACTCTTTACAGGAGGAGAAAGCCTCATATTTCTCCTGCAGAGCTGCTGGTGGGTTCGAACTATTGACCTTGCAGTTAGTAGCCCAACGCATAACCACTTTGCCACCAGAGGGACTCAGATTGCCAGGACCTCTTGTGAGCGCCCCCCGGAGGTCTACAGTGGGTTCTTCCCCAGGGTGTGGGGCCTGGAAAAGGGTGATAATGAGATTGAGCCTTGGAAGAAACTGTCAACCATCAACACTCCTGTGCTAGAACCCTTGGAGGAGAAGCGTCAGACTGGGTGGCCTTGCCTTACAGGGAATTCCCACTTGGATGGGGCGGAGAAGCCTAGGTGTATGAACCATGAAGGAGAGCCAGGCGGGCTATGGGCTAGGCTGACTGCAGGCAGGGAGAGGCAGGCAGGCAGAGGTGGTGGAACAGGCCTGGGGCCTGAGGGGGCGTGGGTGGGAGTTGAGTCTGTGAAAAATAACACTTTTTAAGTTTTGGCTCGGTACAAAATTTACATGTGCTCCTTGCCGAGGAGCTTGGAAAGAGAACCAGAAATGCCCACGGTTGGGGCTGGGGGAGAAGATGGAAGAGAAAGTCCCGGAGCCTGAATGAACGGGTCTTGGTTAAGAGTCGGAAGGAAGAAGGAAGAGCGGTCACTGAGTCCATACTGACTCAGAGCGACCCTGTGGGGCAGGGGACTGCCCCTGGGGGTTCCTGAGACGGTCGCTGCTCATGGGAGTAGAAAGCTCCATCTTTCTCCCCTGGAGCTGCTGGTGGTTTCAAACCACCGACCTGTGCACCGCAGCCCAACACATAACCTGTAGGCCACCAGTGCTCCCTTGGTTAAGGGTGGGGGAGGAAATGGAAGGAATCGGGGGCAGGAACTGCATGAGCAAAGACACACGGGGGGTGGGGATGAAGGTGAGTGTGCGGTGTGTGTGAGAGGTCGAGAGCTTCCCTCTCCTTTCCAGCACCAGGACCACCCCGGCCCGAGGCAACCGCCTGAGTGGCTCAGTGGCCTCAGTGAGGTAGTGGGTGGGGCCGGGCTAAGACAGGGCTGGGTGGCGGGCCAGAGATGCCAGCCTGGAAGCCATAGCAGAGCGGGAGCTGCTGGAAGTACCTGAGCCTGGAGGCCCGGTGCCTCTGGGGGCTGAAACTCCAGAGCCAGCGCCTGGGTCTGCCGGGGAGGGGGCTGGATGCCAGGGCCACCCAGCCACTGACCTGCACTTTGCACAGCTGGAGGCGGCCGACGTGGGAGAGATCTACAAGATCCGGCTTGGGCACACGGGCGAGGGCTTCGGGCCCAGCTGGTACGTGGACATGGTGTGGCTGCGGCACCTGGTGGTTCGGGAGGAGGACCTGACGCCGGAGGAGGAGGCCCGGAAGAAGAAGGAGAAGGACAAGCTGCGACAGCTGCTGAGGAAGGAGCGGCTGAAGGCCAAGCTGCAGCGGAAGAAGAAGAAGAAGCGGCAGGGCAGTGATGACGAGGAGGAGGGGGGCGAGGAGGGGGAGGAGTCCTCGTCCGAGGAGTCCTCAGAGGAAGAGGAGGAGGAAGAGAGCGAGGAGGAGGAGGAAGAGGAGGAGTTTGGGCTGGGGATGCAGGAGGTGATTGAGGAATACAAGTTCGAAGCCCACCGTTGGCTGGCCCGGGGCAAGGAGGACAACGAGCTCGTGGTGGAGTTGGTGCCGGCTGGGCAGTCGGGTCCTGAGCGTAAGCCTGAGGAGGGGTCAGACAGTTCCCCTAGGGGGCTCTCTAGGGTGGGACGTCTCCATCTCCTCTCCCTAGGAGGTCGACTAGGTGACCACCTGGGATGGTCCCATCGAGGATGGCTCTTGTGGAGGCTGGCGAGGTGGTCACCTGGGAGGGTTCTCATGCCACCTGTGCCCGACATGTCCCCATTGACAGTTCTGTTTGGGGTGAAGCATTGCCATGGGCCCGCCTCTGTGATTTGGAGGGGGCGGGGGTCCCAGCTCTCACTAAACATGGGCAACGTAACATGGGAGGTTGCCAAGGGCACATTTTACCATGACCCACAGCCTGGTGCCCAGGCAAGTTTGGGTAGGGAGAAGGGGTTTTCTGGACCTGGTTGGCATCCACGGGTCCACAGGCCCTTCCTGCTCCCTGACTGGCAGCAGCTAAGAACCGTGCCCCAAGCCCTCTCCAAGACCAGGGTGTGCTTAAGGCTGCCTCTTTTCTGTGTCCTCAGCCAACACTTACGAAGTCCAGGTGATCACAGGGAATGTGCCCAAGGCGGGCACTGATGCCAACGTCTACTTGACCATCTATGGAGAGGAGTACGGGGACACAGGTGAACGGCCCCTGAAGAAATCAGACAAGTCCAACAAGTTTGAGCAAGGCCAGGTAGGGTAGAAGCCTCCCTGGGCAGGTGGTTCAGACTCAGACACTGAGGCGGTGCCCTTCAATCCTTGCCACATCAGCTCACCCCGGCATATACTGTCTTTGGGCAGTTTGCTCAATTGACCAGAGCTCCTGAAAGCGCCGGCTCTGTGGTGAGGGCATAAGCAAAGTACAAGCGGTGTTCTAGCCCCTCTGGAGCTCCTGGGCTGGTGGACCCGCAGGAACCGTATCACAGTGGCCCCCGGCTGTCCCAGCCATGGGGAGGATGGAGCTGACGGCAAGTGGGAGGAGGGTAGCTCTCACCTCGCCGAGCATCCTTCCTTTCTGGCTCCTCTCAGACAGACACCTTCATCGTCCCGGCCATGGACCTGGGGCCCCTGACCAAGATTCGGGTTCGCCATGACAACACTGGCAACAGGGCGGGCTGGTTCCTGGATAGAATTGACATCACCGATGTGAACAATGAGATCACGTGAGTGGTGGGACTGGCGGGCAGGGAGCAGCTAGCCACACAGGCCCCTAGTCCTCCCTTGGAAAAGTACTGGAGAGAGGGTTGGGCTGGTGGTGAGGTTTGGATGTGATGTTGTCCATGGCCACCAGGGGGTGCTGGTCCATGCTGCTGGCCAGGTAGACACTACCTGCCTGCTCCCTAACACTGCAGCTGCCATCGGGGCCAGATGCCAGCTCGGTAGAGGGTCCATCCCAGCTTTTGAGGTCAGTGCAAGGGTATCCCATGAGCTCTTCCCACTAGACCTTCACCGGCTCTACCTCCACGCCCAGCCCCAGTTAGCTCTAAGTCTCTCCATGCACCAGCTAACTGGTACCACTTTGTTTTAATATCCTACACGGGAGGCCAGCAGACTTTCCCTGGAAATAACCAGATAGTATTTTAGGCATTTGGGCTCTGGTACCATCACTAAACGCCACCATACGAAGCTGGGTTTCTGGGATCTGGAATTTGAGTTTCAAATAATTCTCACATGCCAGGAAATGGTGTTCCCTGACCGCCCCCCACCCTCCCACTCACCCATTTAAAAGCGTAAGGCTCATTCTCTGTTGTGGGATGTGCCAAGGTCGCCTGAGACTCACGGCTCACTTGGGAAGGAGGCACCGTGACCTTCTGGTGGGTCAGAGAACCAGGCCCCAGAAGTCACAGCCCCAGAGCTAATTGGGGCCAGAGCTGTAACCGTGCTCCGGTTGCTCCCAGCATCCATGTTATCTCTAAGGCTAAGGGGATGGGGATAAGGGGTGAGAGACAACCCGTGATATAAAGAGAAGCAGGGCAGAGACAGGCAGAGAGGCGAGCAAGCACGATCTAGAGAGGGTCCCGGGGCTGCCAAGAGCCCTCCAGGTCTTGGACGTTAGCTGGTACCAAATAGCGAGACAGTTGCTGCCTTAAATCAACTCTCGGTGTGCATTGTGGTGTCTCTTGGAGCAGGTCTCTGTACAGGACAGAGGGTAACAGGGCTCACTGCCTTCTGCCACCCGCTCCTGGTCTCACCATCCCCAGAGAATCCTCTGGAGAGGCACACTGAGGCCCAGCTCACAGATGGCCTGATGCTATGGTTTTCCATGAGGTCATTGTGGGGCACCCGAGGCCGAGGCAACACCCCACAGCTGAGAACCAGGGTCCTGGCATGGGTGGGAGAGGGGTGGGGTCTCAGGTCTTTGTTCCCTTTCCTGTGAAGTGGGCTTAGCGCGGCCGACCTAGCTTCCTTCTGAAGATGTGCTGGGCATGAGGACATTTGGGTCTGCAAAGGGTAACGTGCTGACGAAATGTCAGGGCGGGGATGTCTGGCTTCCCTTCGCAGCTCAGTCAGGCTCAATGGTTCGGATCCTTTGAGATGGCACTTCTGGGCCAGTTCAACAACTTTGAATCATTGTGGTGGTGGCGTCTGTCTTAATACCTGCCTGCACGTGTCCTCTTTCATTAAATGTCCCTTAAAAACATGCTAGCTCTTCTTACACTGTTCAAATCAGGATGTTAAGGGACTTGGACAAATAAATTCTACCGGACTTTGACTGTTGCCCCATTAAATGTATGTGCAGAGAACGACATGTTTGTGATAGTGTGACCACCCAGGGACACTGTGACATTTATCTAAGCGTTCTTTTCTGGTTTTTTTTAAATACTTTTTCTAAACATAGGTTTATGATTTTCCATACAAAGTTGCCTCTCACTGCCATCAGGTCAATGCTGACTCATAGTGACGCTATAGGACAGAGTAGAACTGCCCCTGTGGGTTTCCGAGCCTGTTACCCTTTACGGGAGTCGAAAGCCCTGTCTTTCTCCCATGGATCAGCTGGTGGTTTCGAACTGCTGACCTTGCAGTTAGCAGCCCAATGCGTAACCACCAGGGTACTCTTGTGAACAGAAACGTCTCGTGGCTCTTCTCTCTCCCTGTCTCGCGCCTCCTGCCCCTCTTGACTACCCTTTCCTCTTCCCATGGTGTTGCTCTCCTCCTGGTGGGTGATGGGCTCAGCTGTGGTCTGGAAGCAGCAAAGAGGGATCTGGGGCGAGCCAGCCCCAGCAGCGTCTGGCCAAGAACTACTCTGCACTAAGCCTGCAGGGGGTTGGCCAGAGCCATACCGAAGTTCAGAAGAAATAAGCCGCAGAGGGGACGTCTTCCCCAGTAGTGTCTGGAACTCTCCCCTGGACTCTCCATGACCTTTT